CTGAACCAGAGGGGGCCATGGAGACACCAGTGAGGCACTGAAAAAGGAGGTAAGAGCATCCCTTCTCTGTGAAATTGGGATTCTGGTGGCGTCTTAGTGTGGTCTCTGGCAGCAGGAGGCTCTGCAGAAGAGCAAGGCAGAGGTGCAGGGAGATGGTAATTGTTTCTGGCACCATTTGCCACCCTTCGAATGCATGGAAGCTTTTGCAACCCAGTAGTGCGAGGCACCAGTGAGGCACTGAAAAAGGAGGTAAGAGCATCCCTTCTCTGTGAAATTGGGATTCTGGTGGCGTCTTAGTGTGGTCTCTGGCAGCAGGAGGCTCTGCAGAAGAGCAAGGCAGAGGTGCAGGGAGATGGTAATTGTTTCTGGCACCATTTGCCACCCTTCGAATGCATGGAAGCTTTTGCAACCCAGTAGTGCGAGGCCAGAGTCCTGCTGTCAGACACCTGGAGAGGTTTCCCAGACCACATTTGGGCCCAGGATAATTTAGTTGGTGGCACTACTTGCATGGAATCTGTGTTTCCTGGGAGTACATCCACAGCCTTTCTTTGTCTATTCTCAAGCCTGCAACCGCTTCACCTGCCAGCCTTATGCTCGACTGTTGTCCTAGCTGCACCTGCTGTGGTGATTTTCTCCAGCACGGACCTGCCTTTGAAAGCTGGGCTGTCTCCTCCCTTCCTTACAAGAGCTTACTGGGCTGGGGTTGGCTTTGCCAGTTTGGTCCCTTGGCAGGCTGCAAGGGAAGCAGATGTCTCTGTTGGCCATGCATGGTCCTCCCCATCCCTAAGCCCAGGGCTTGGATGTGGCACATTGGTCAGACCATGACACTTTTCCACCCTTGGCTGAGCATCTCTTTCTCTCTTCCCTGGTGCAGATCCAGTCACTGCGGGCACAACTGGAGGCAGCAAAATCCCAGGGAGAAAGCCATGTGCCCCGAGGGCACATCTCACAGGTGAGCAGGGTGCAGGACACAGGACCCTGGGGGTCACTCCCAGTACCAAACTGGGAAATTCTGGGACTCAGCTCACTGCTGATCATTGGGTTGCCATGGTGACCCTAACTGTGCCCATTTGTAATCAATGTTAATTACATAAAGGCTGGTGCATGTTGCCTGGCCTTAAAGGGGCCAGAGTTGTAAAGGGAGGGGAGGAGAATTAGGGGAGCCGTGTAGGAGCTGTGCCCCACTTTGTGCGTGGGTGTGATGCTGGCCTGGGCTGTGGGGTTGAGCTGTCCCCCAGCTCGAGAGTGGGTCAGCAGCTTTCTGCCAAGCCTCCAGTGTGTGCCCTGGTGGATTGTGGCTCACCACATGTGGTTCTTGCTAACAGAGGCTCCCAAGTCCCTTGTTAAAAGCAGTCAGTCAGTCCCTGGAGAGCTCCAATCCCTGTCAAGACCAGCCAAGCCCCGAAGGTCACTCTGACAGTGCAGGCCATTTGTTTGTTGGGACAGCACGTGGGAGAGCCCGTAAAGAATTTGCTCATGCTTCAGCCTCTCCTCTTTGTTTATTTATTTTCCTCCCCAAGGACTCATCCAAAGCAAGCGGGGTCACATCCCACAGGGATTTCCTGGAGGGAGGCTGCTGTTCTACCACGCATTGAGGTTTTCAGGATGTGTCCTACATGTTGAAGGATACCGAGGCAGGGGGTTGGCAGGGCAGGAAATTGGGGCTGACGAAATCTGTTGCAGCAGGTTCACTGTACCTAGCCCAGATAAAGAAACCCACAAGTCCTGTATTACCCAGCCCAGACACTTACCAGTCTCTCTCTCATCTTGATTTAATATGTACAGCTCACAGGCCTCTTTTATGGTCAGAAAGTAAAGTAAAAGGAGTAGGGAGGAACTCCCTTATCTTTCTAATAACCTGGCTCAAAAGGCCAGCATTTCACATCAGAGGCCAAACTTGATCTTTCCCCCAAGGATTCATTCTCAGTCTGCCAAGGATTGCAGCCAGTCCATGGACAGATCACCAAATTGATTCCTCACCTTTTCCCCTCTCCTTTGGTTGATCTGTGAAGCTTCCCACCTTCCTTTATCTCAGTAGAGAGGAGTAGCCAGCAAGGACTTGCATTCACACATCATGTTGCACTGTCCTTTGTATCAGCCTTGGCCTTAGTACACAGGGAATGAATGGGATGGCAAGGGGCTGTTGGGGGATGCAATGACTTCCTAGCTCTCTGCTGATGTCTTTGAGGCCCAGGCTTTTAAAAATAATGGCATGGTTTGATGAACAAATCCTTCCTGAGAGGCTTGGGGCAGTGCTGCCAGTGTCTGGAGGGGGAGTGGAGACATAGCACCAAGGTGGGAACTGCTTTGTTTTGCTCTAACATGAGCTAACCACAGCACTCAGCATAGAAAGAACCATCCCCTTGGTCCCAGAGCCATCAGAAAGAAGGGTGAACTGTGTGAGGAGGATCCCTAACCATTAGGCTGTGAGGAGGGCTATTTGGCAGCCTCCATCGGGCCACAGGGCCATGCAGGGTGTCACTTTTCAGGAGAGGGGGCTCGGTTTCATCAATTCCAGGGGATGCTTCTTCATTTAAAAGGCAGATACTGAGATGCCGTTCCAACTGTTAATATCCTTCAGCCAGGCAGTGCAGCCTGGTGGAGGGTCAAAGTGTCAGACATCTTATTCCCAGCTCTTGGCCCAAGAGGGACATTCCTGTCTTGCTGGCTTAGTTTTAAGAAGAACCAAAGGAACATTTGTTCCTCTCTAAAGTGCAAAGGGGTTGCAAGATGTGTGGCCCTGTCAAATGGTTGTTCAGTGGTTAAAGTGCCATCTTTTCAGAAGGAAGTAGTCTCACTTCTTTCAAAATGTCCCTGGACTTGGGTTAGGTTTGCAAAAGCAAACATCAGCCCAGTGAGGTGTCCAAGCCCTTCCTTCTGTCCTCCTGGTCTCTCACCCCTCCTTTCCTCTGTATGACAGGAGGCCTGTGAGCGCAGCCTGGCTGAGATGGAGTCATCCCACCGGCAAGTGATGGAGGAGCTCCAGAGGCACCACCAGCGGGAGCTGGAATGGCTGCGGCAGGAGAAGGAGCGGCTCCTGGCAGAGGAGGCAGCAGCGACAGCAGCAGGTAGGAGCAAGCACCAGGCTCTGCCCCTGCTCAGATGGGTTCCTCCTGCTTCTCCCAAATGTCTCTTGCCAAAAACGAGTCATCTTAGTCATCTGGAGCCACACTGCTGACCTTACTGGCGTGAGGCTGACACTCCTTGAAGCGTGAGCCTGGTGTTCCTCATTCCTGTGGTACTGGTGGAGATGGGGTTGTAAAGATACTGCAGAAAATGGGATCATGCCTCGGAGAATGGGTGGGAGGGGGCCAGCACCTTCTTCTAGGTGGGCAGGGATGGCAGAGGTGACAGGAAGCTTCCACACTGCCCTGTGTTAGTCTCCTTGGCAGCTTGATGATCCTGGGGTGTGGAGAAGGTGGGGGATGCCCTGAGGGCAGAAGCGAAGGAGGGTGAATCTGCAGAGACAGGTCTGGGATTCCTGCAGTGGCAAGAGCTCAGACAGTTCCCTGGTGTGGTTTCCCCAGATGTGCTGAAGCTGGCACAGCCTGATCCCACACCTCCTATTGTCCCTCTCTGCAGCCATCGAGGCACTGAAGAAAGCCCACCGGGAGGAGATGAATAGGGAGATGGGCAGGACACGAAGTTTCCAGCAATGCACCTCACTCCCAGAAGCCCTCCAGAAGCAGCACCAGTAAGAAAGCACCTCTCTCGCTCCCCTTGCCCGATGATGCCACCTTGTGCCAGTGTCACTGCACCCCATCAGCATCTCTAGCCCCCAGCTGTTCCTCCTGCCACCTCTCCAGCTCTGTCCTCAGGGGCACTGGGTACTCAGCAGTAACTGCCAGGGCTGCTGGAGCTGTAGGGTAGGAAGGTCTGGGCCCTTTTTGTCTCTTTTCCCTATACCACTTTCCTCTTCCCTATAGCTTTTTCCCTGTATTCTTTTTATGGAAAACCTCTCCATTTCTTCATCATGGCTTGGTGCTCCTAGAAGCACCATGCTCATGTGCAGGAGTGTGGGAGCTAAAGCCTTGGTCCACAGGGAACATTGTTTTGTGCCAGTGAGTGCTGTGGGCAGAGGCTAGCCATGGCAGTGAGGGGAAGGTGATGCTGGTGGCCAGGAGCTGGCAAAGGTTTTGGGGCAGCAATGAGCTGGTGCCTCTTTGGCAGGTTGGATGTGGAGTCCCTGAAGCGGGAGCTGCAGGCACTTTCTGAGCAGTATTCCCAAAAGTGCCTGGAAATCGGGGAGCTCACCCAGAAGGCAGAGGAGCGGGAACAGATACTGCAGCGCTGTCAGCAGGAGGAGAAGAACCTTCTCCGGAAAAATCAGGCAAGAGAAGGGGTTTCCCTGCCAGCAGAGACAGCAGAGCATGTTCCTCCCTCACACAGCACAGCCTCTCTGTTAAAACTCCCTTGTTCGTTCATATTTCTTCCCTTCTGAGATTTTACCATCAGAAAGAAAAAGACCAAGGGTTAGAGGCTATAGATGGGCTTGTCTTAACTGTGGTGTTCAATATGGTGAGTGTATTCAGCTGGCTGTGGGTGCTGTGATGGCCTGTGGACAGGGGGTTACAAGGTGGTCTCTAAGCTGGAGTAGGACTGAAATGAAGATGGAGGGGTCAGAACAGTAGAGAGGCCTGTGCCGTGACTACTCTGATGTCTTTTGGCTCTGCCTGCAGGAGCTGCAGACCCGCCTCTCGGATGAGATTGGGAAGC